TTTACAAGTCAGTGACATCGATTACGTTTCTCAAGTTGTGTAACCATTCTCGTCCGGTGGAAGCTTTTAAAGCACTGAATTAAATGAGTCTCAGAATTTGTGTGTCCGGGAACATTTACCAGAGAGTTGTGTTCATTTCCACGCTGCTCAGTGAAAAATCGTTTACAACCAAATCTGTTTCTTGGCTCAGAAAAATGTATGCAGCAGGTGCTGGCCTCTTACGAGGTTTTACAGCACGGCTAATTCTGTCCTGGGGCTTTGGCCAAGCATGCTTTCCTTAATGAAAAGTTCTTGGGTATCATCAGGGCCCAGAAAGAGGTGAGTTAGATGTAGATAATTTCCCAAAGAGTTTCTTATTGAAATTTTTTCTATTTCTTGTGTGACTCAGACCTCCTGGAAATGGGCACTGTATGTCCCTTGGATTTGGGGTGTCTTCATGAGACAGGAGATCATCAGAAAGGGACATCCTCAGTGAATCCAGGGTAAGCCTGAGGATTTGCATGATTCTTAGGGATTCTGCTCAGGTTGATAAAGGTGTGAAGCTACTCAAAACACCTGTCTGAGGCGAGTTAGTGCTACATAACCTGAAGTTTGGAAGGGAGGAAAGGTGTTGACACCGTTATTTGGAAAGGAGCCTTGGGAAAGGGAGCAAGTGAGAGTTGGAGAAAGAGAATTTTTAGGTGTGTAACGGGAGACTGCCCTCTCTGAACCTCTTTGTAGGAGGGGAGCCAGGGGCTCATGCCCCTGTGCTGGGAAGGGTTCTCTCTCTCTGATTCTCTTCCTGACCCAGGGATAGGAGGCCTTGTTTGGAGTGTCAGGGTAATTTCACATGAGCCTTCCTTCCTCCTTCCTGTCTGCCTGCTCCCAGTGTCTCATTTTTGACATCACTGTGGAGGTGCCTTCTTCCGTCAGTTAGGGGCTGCCATCCTTTAGCAGGTCGGTGGATTGGCTCCTCTCAAGTCCTCATGATCTTGAGATTCTCCACAGATCATTGACACTGGAGTGATTACTGGGGGCAGAGGTGCGCTGTGAAGGAGGCAGTGACAGGATTTTGAAAGACATGATCATGGCCATTTCTGCGCTTTTAAAAAAAAAAAAACAAAAAAAACCCAGACTCGTTGCTGTCAAGTCAATTCTGACTCATAGGTACCCGACAGGACGGAGAAGAACTGCCTCAGGGTTTCCAAGGAGTGGCTGGTGGATTTGAACTGTCGACCTTTTGGTTAGCAGCTGAGCTCTTACTGTGCTTAATGGGCTGAAATTACGTTGATTTCTAATTTACCTGCCCATTTTGTCAAGACTGTCTCAGTGAACATTTCAGTATAACAAATCTCATCTTCTTTAATTAACTGAGCTGGAAGATACGTTAGGGTGTTTATGTGTGTATAGCTCCTAGAAGAGCTTGAACACATTTATGAGTACAGTTCAGAGCGATGTCTATGAGAACAAACAAGCTAAATATGCTTACTTCTAATGTAGAAACGGGTGATGTGAGAAAGCTAGTGGAAAGAAAACAGCTGCTTGATGGATATTATGCCGAGTCAGATCGTGGAGGCTGTCCCAGTTGGAGGAAGAACTTTTTCAGGATAACTCGGTGCTCAGGTGGCCCAAGTGGCCCGTAAGCCGCTAGCCCTACCAAGCAGTTTGGCGTAAGCGTCTTTCTTTTCAGTACAATGGAACATTCACGATGTTTATCAGGCAGAAACTTTATTAAGGGAAGCCTGACAGGAAGGTCAGGGGGACGAGGAATGTAGTCTGTCCTTATTGGAAAGCTTGTTTTTCGAAACTTGTAAAAACCACATGAATGGGTGTAGTTTTATCAGTTCAGCTCCTGACTATATTGAAAGTGAGGATAATAGCTACCTGTTTTCCACAGAGTGCCGTTGTGAGGCACTATCTGGACACTTGACCTGCCTTATCTCATTGGAATCTCCACAAGGGCTCCATTTTAATATTACTTCCCAAGGCACCCAGCGTAGCAATGTGTACAAACGTATTTCAGCTGTTAGAGCCAGCCATGTTGTATACACAAATTATTTTTTCAGTGCGGTTTTTGGGTTTTACCTTTTTTTTCTAAATTTACTCAAGGAATATTCAGGGTCCCAATTATTTATTCAATAACCGTGTACAGTCCCCTTACGCATTTTCAGTGTTGCGTAAGGAAATGGAGTTGAAAATAACAATAGCAGTTGCTACCCAGGAAGGGATGGGATGGATAACAGAATGAATTCAAAGCCCTGGGAGGAAAGTGGTCAGGGGAAGTACATCCTTGGTAAGTTGTAGCAAGTTCAGAGTGACTTTTATTTCTGTAGACTTGTTTTGAAAAATTCTTTGACTGGACAGAGACCAGTTAGTTTCCTGTCTGTCTGTCCTGTTTTTATGCATTTCAGCAAATGGAAGTCTGTTACAGGGATGTTTCCAGATGGAAACAGAGATGACCCTCTTGTCCCTGGAATCATGGCATCATGGAAGTTCCAAAGGTTATTCTGGGATTTCATGTCATTTTAAAGCAGAAAGGGAACCTAACTCACTTATTCATCCATTGAGCCTGTCAGTATTTGCATACCTTCCTTATTAGGCTGGCCTGGGCTCTGTGCTCCCTATAGCATTGAAAAGACAAATCCTGGTAAGTCCCTGCCCACCAGGAACTTACAGCTTAGAGATAAGAAGGACAATAAGAGTGATGTGTTATTAAAAGACAGGTAAGGAATGCATGTAACTGGGGCACCTAAACTCATTTCTCAGAATTGTTGTTCCCTTGTGGGCGCGTAGGAGCAAGGATAGGGAAATTATATGGAAACCAACCAGTTAAAACCAGTTGATGTGGAGTCAGTTCCAATTCATGGTGACCTCCTGAGTGTCAGGTAGAACTGCGCTTTGTAGGGTTTTCAATGACTGACTTTTTAGAAGTAGATCACCAGGCTTTTCTTCCAAGTTGCCTCTGGCTGGACTTGAACCTCTAACCTTTTGGTTAATGGTGTGCACCACCCAGGGATTCCATATGGAAACAAGGGTAGGGAAATTCCAGGGAGAAGTGGGAGAATTGAAATGGGTGAAGGGTACCAAGAACCTGCTTTCCTGTACAGCTCTGCTTCAGCTGTATATTTGTATGAACAATGAAAACTGTATTTCCAGCTTCGAGCCCGGGTGAGTATCTTCTCTTCGATTTCAGGATGAAATTTTGTAATCAAATTATGATTAGGTACTTTTTCTCCCCTGTGGAGTCATTCCATAGGACAGATCTCTTTTTTAGAAAGTTCAGTGACCACAGCAACCAGTGACAGCCTAGTCTTCTTGGAATTGTTTGTACTCATTGGTTTGTTAGAAACCACTCTAAAGACAGATGTCTGCCCACCCTTCCCCCTGCTCTCTTCTCTAAAGATGTCAAAAGCCTAGTGAGGAATCTGTGAAATGTGAACTATGACTTGGTTATATGTGGTTCAGTGAAATAGCTGGAGGTTTTCCCAGAAGAAGGCTAAAGCAAAATTGTCTAGACATCACTTTCTCCTTATCTAGGCAAGTCTAACTGGGACCTTTTCCACATGACAGATTCAGGCTCAAAGAAAAATTTGCTTCACTGGTTAAAACCCATCTGGGGCGAGTTGAGATTACTCCTGAAACGTACAAGGCTGTGATTGTTGGTTTGAGAAAAACAGAAAGATTTTTCTCTTTGTTGTTACTGTTGATATTAAAAATAATTTATTCATTAAGACTTTATTAAGCATCTACTCTGTATACCCATCTGTCAGTTTGTCATACTGTGGTGGCTTACGTGTTGCTATGATGCCGGAAGCTATGCCACTGGTATTTCAAATACCAGCAGGGTCATGATAGGTATCAGTGGAGCTTCCATACTAAAACAGACTGGGAAGAAAGGCCTGGTGATCTGCTTCTGAAAATTAGCCGGTGAAAACCATATGGATCACAACACAATGTTGTCCAATATCGTGCTGGAAGATGAGTCCACCAGGTTGGAAGACACTCAAAATACGCAGTGGCTGCAACAGTGGACTCAAACATACCAACGATCTTGAAGAGGGTGCAGGACCAGGCACCATCTTGTTTTGTTATACGTGAGGTCTTCATGAGTTAGAGCCAACTCAATGGCAACTAGCAACAACAACATATACAGACATTGTGCTTTGTCTTGGGGAATCAGTGATGGGCAGAAGAGTGGTCTTTGTGGTGAGTCAGATCATTGTGCAGATAAGGGTACAATGACCATCTGAGTAAAGGGCTAGTGGAAAAGGAACAGCACTCTGTGGGAGGAGAAGAGCAAGGCACTCGATTGAGGGGAAGGGAGGTCAAGGAAAGCTCAAGAGCTGTGAGCTTGAGGAGGTCTGAAATATTTTTGAGAGTTAGCCAAAGGAAGGGACTGGAGAGTGGGGAGGGAACCAAGCTAGTTCAGAGACCCTGGGTCCATATCTTTTGGTGCTCTCATGCCACTTGGAGACGTCCGTAGAGTTGTGCTTTGGCTGTTGTGAGAAGCACTAGGATTCTTTCTACACTGGCCAAAAGACAAAGTGCGTACATTTCCTCACTGGTGCTGCGGGCATCAGCTTTTTACCTCAGATGTATGGGCCATATTACCCAGAACTCTGTCGTCTTCTTTGGGACCGTAGGAAGTAAGGCTGCCCTCACTGATGAGAACATTGAAGAGCAGATTAACCCTGGCGTCTCTAGTAGCCGCTGCAGGGAATAGTTATTTTTTCACCCAGGCTCAGGGTATTTTGTACCAAAACATTAAGTGGTTTTGCCACTGCAAAAGAGAATTATACTTTCAAACCCTAGGCACTGTGCTTGGTGTGAGCCTCTTGAGGTGGACTGCACATGCGTCTCCTTGGTGCCACAGTCAGCAGGTCTTTACTGAATACGAACATAGTTTAAAACACTGTGGAGCTGAACTTTGGAGGCTGAAGGGTATCTCTGCAGAGCTGTTTCTGCATTTAAGAATACTGAGCCAGGGTTAGGGTGTCTGACATTGTGCCTGTTCACGTGGTTCCAGTTTTAACAGCTTGGTTTATACTTCAAGGTTGTGTGAATTTCCTGGGATTTTTTGGGGGGGAGTAACCTGATAGAGAGTCACACAAATCGTAAGTGTATAGTTGGTTGAGTTATCACAGAGTTAACACACCTAAGTAACAATAGCCGGATCAAGAACTAGGACATGACAATCGCCAAAAGCCCCTCTGGGGTTCACTTGTCCCTCCTCAAGGGCAACTACTCTCCTGACCTCTGTGCCCACTGATGAGTTGTGTTTGCTTTTGGACTTGGTATAAATGGAGTTACACAGTATGTATTCTTTTGCCCCTGGCTTTATTTTTTCAACATTATGCTTGAGCTTTGCCTATGTTGTCATCTGTAGCTGTCACTCACTCATTTTCATTTCTGTATAGTATAATAGGTCCCTAGTAGCACAATTTATGCTTGACAGCTAACCTGAAGGTTGGTGGTTCAAACCCATCTAGCAGTACCTTGGAAGAAAGGCCTGGTGATCTGCTTCCATTAAGATTACAGCCAAGAAAACACTGTGGAGCAGTTCTACTCTGTAACACACGAGGCTGCCATGAGTCGGAATGGACTGAACGTCAACCAGCAAGAACATGGTATAACAGCATGGATGTATCTGCTGAGACCCAACTGTTCTACTGCTGATGACATTTGTGTTGCTTGTTGCTTCGGGCTATCATGAAAAATGGCACTGTGATTATGGCCATACGTGTCTTTTGATACGTGTGTACCTTCATTTCTAGGGTATGCCCCAGAGTGGAATTGTAGGATTGGATCATAGAGTATGCATTCACCTAACTCCAGTAGATAATTCTAGACAGTGCTCTAAGGTGGTTGTACCAGATTACGTTCCCATCAGCAGTGTACAAGAGTTTCTATTGCTTAGTATCCTCACCAGCTCTTGGTATTGTGAATCTTTTCATTTTACCCATTTAAAAGGTAAATTACCCATTTACCTACTTAAAAAATTTGTAATTGATCATTATGGTGTCTGGGTGTGTTGTTGAAAAGAAATGAGGCTGAGGTTTGGAGCCCAGAAACTCTGAATGAGCTTAGCTCAAACCCTGGTTGAGGGGCCATTGGGTCACTGTTTAAGGTCTTAACTAGAATATAGGGCAATGTTTTTAGACCTCGACCTCTAACATCTGACAGACCAGGGTCCAAATGCCAGTGACAAGTTATTTATTCTCCATGAGCCCCAGTCTGCTCACCTGAAAAATGGGAGTGATTTAAGGAGTATATGAGTCAGTACATAGAAAAAGCACTTAGTGCCTGGCCAATGGTCATTATACAAAAGAAGTTATGAAGTTGCTCTGAGTCACAGGAAGAAGTGACCAGCACATTGCTTTGAAACACTTTGTATTTATTTTTAGTTCTTCTATTTGTAGGGGAAACAAAGTCATTTCATTCAGAGCATTAGACGTCAAAGCCCAGTATACCCTTTCGGGAACTGCTTCGTTTATTTGATGTGCGGGGGGCTCTGTGTGTTGTTTTGAAGGATGGCGTGTTTATTGTTCAGCAGAAACACCCCGTGAGCCCAGGGCCACTCTGGGTTTGTGTGCGTTTGACACCAGGGCAGGGAGGAGGAAATCATATTCAACTTGTGTTTTGACACAGAGGATTTTTGTTTTTCCTTTGTCAGGTCTGCATCCTCCACCAAAAACAAAACACTTCAGCACCGGTAAATACTGGGAGTGGCAGCCCTGGCGTTTTCTTTTTTTTTTTTTCCTTTTGTACAATTGCACGGTGACTGAGGGTGGCATTTTAAAAGATCAGTGGTTATCAGTCTGAGATATGAAAGAGAACCGTAGCAATTCCAGAAATGAAAAAGTGATGTAAAGGAAAGTAAGAACCACAGTATACATTTTTTTCTTTTGGAGGCAATTGTGAGATATTTCAAGGAGGGAAAGGTAGAAGAGAGTTGCTTGTTTGCATTTCCTTCTCTCAATCACCCAGATTTGTCACACCACCACTCCCGAGTCTTAGAATACACTCTTCAGACAGGTGAATTTTTCTTAGGTGGGTTATGTGGTATCTTCCCCTGACCACTGCCCAATTCTATGTCGCTTGTCCTGTCCGGCAAAACCAGAACTGAGGTGCAGCCAGACCAGGAGGCTAGGAAAGGCGCCTCTCATTACGCAGCCAAGAGTCTGAGTTATTAGAATTTTATTTTTAACATGTTAAGGGTTTTTTTGTTTTGTTTTAAAAAACTATATATGTAACACTTTTTAAAAAAAAATTTCTCTCTCTCCCTCCCTTCTTCTGTTTCTTCCTAAGAGAAATTAAGTACAGAAAGAAAAGCCAAACAAGAGAGAAGAGAAAGGTTAAAACTGCTGGACGCTGGATTCACACAACAGAGACTGACCCCTCCACGTAGCGTCTTACTAGCTGTGTGATTTTAAATAAGTGCCTTATTTCTCTAAGCGTCAATTCTTTCATCTCTCAGTGGAGACAGTGGTTGTACCCATTTATTATGAGAGTTATGGTAAGAACGACAGATGTCATTAAATAAAGTGTGAGAATTATGAAAATAGTAACACTTCCACTTACCTAGCACTTGGCTCCAGGCGCTGTTCTAAGCACTTGGCATTTATCGATTCAGCTGATCTTCACAATAACAGTTGAGGTCGTGTGCTCTTTTTTACAGATGAAGAAACTGAGGCATAGAGCATTTAAGTAACTTGACTAAGAGCACCCCAGTAATAAGTGGCAGAGCTTGGATTGGAGTGAGCCAGTCCATTTCCAGAGTCTGTGTCCTTAATCACAATACTGCCATTTTCCCCAGTCCCCCTCGTAACATATCTCACCCCCATTCTTCTCTCTAGAGATAACCATGGAACGGTTTGGCGTAACTCTGTGTAACTTGAAGCAACAAAACTGAGATCGTACAGTCGATTATATTGTGCATCTTTCTTGTTTCATGAAATGATACATCACAAATGTTTCTTCTATGTTAGTACACATACCTCTGCCTAAGTAAAAAATAAACCACCTTTGCCAAGAGGTGGCCATTTAGGCCAGCTTACGGGGCTGGCTTTCTCTCAGGGCAACCCCGTTCTAGCTGGCTTCCTGCCAAGGAGATGGCTTTCTTTACCACAAAGTAGCTTCTGAGAAAAACTGTGTGGGAAACAAATGACTGCAGAGGTTTTCAGAACAAAAGTGCAAACTCTAACAAATTTCATCTGGCCCAAAAATGTTATTACCCCAAATTTTGAAAATATTTTTTTATAGGATTATTCCCTCAAGGTTGTTAATCTGAGAACGATCCAGGCTTATTAGGTCTGACTTTTTGCCCGTGTTGGAGTCTTGCGTATGCGAGTGCTGGAATGTGGGGTTGAGGTAAAAATATTTCTCTGGAGGAAATGACGTCCTTTATTTAATATTATAGCTACCACTGGGACTCTATCGAAACGGGATACCAGTTCACACAGCCAAGACGAGGCTTTTTAATTTAGTTCAAGGGACCTTTTAAAAGGTAGCACTAGGTTTTCAGGGCCACATTTATTGAGTTGTATCTGCCCTAAAGATTCTTGCTGTCCTTAAATTGTACCTAATGAACATTGTCTTTTTAGATAAATGTTATCGCAACATTATCTGCTTTTTCTTTCAGTGATTGTCATTTGAAAGACCATTTTACTTTCAGTATAATAAAGTGGCAGCAAGCTAAAATGTTTCTCTGTTGAGGTTATTGTCTGAGAGAAGCTTATCTGGCGCTGTCAGCCCAGCACAGCAAGGAGACAAACCTTCATTTGTCTACAGGGGGAAAGAATGTGGTGAAGTCTGCCTGCCTCCCTGGATACACCTGTAGAGCTGGTTTTGCTGATGAAACCTGCTGGGCCCTGGTAACTAAGTGTAAACAGTGACTGGCCTCTGAGGAACTGAGCTTTCTGTGTCCTTCTCTTGCTGGTGGAGTCCTGAGTCTGTGTGTAATCTCTTTTAAGCTAGTTTGGCTTATCACTGGGCCTAGATTCTCCTGGAGCATATTTTAGATAAGAGTGGAAAAAATGCCAGGCTGAGCATTAGCTGCTTGAGATATTGAGAAACTTTATTTTTCCTCACAGACAAAGAAAAGTGTTTGGTTTAATTTTGAAGCCTGCTTGTGAATAGGCCAGAAGGTATAAAGGTGACCTTATCTCTTCTAATTTTGGTTTTCAGTAAGTTATTTAGAAGCAGGAATGAAGGTGGTAATAAACTTTGCTCCTTTGTCTGAGTAGAGTCTTGAGGTGTTGCCCTCTCCTTGAAGACAGCACAGATGGCCCACCTCTGTTGAAGTCACAGCGTTGTGACCTTGGGCAAGTTACCTAAGCTTTCTGAGGCTCAGTTTTCACATCTGTAAAAAGAAGATGATACTAATAGCACTCAAATCATAGGGCTGTAATGAAGTTTAAGGAGTTAATATTTGTAGTCCTTAGAATAGTACTAGGCACATGATTTATGTTATAGAAGTGTTTGTAGAAAAAAATAAGCTATGGGAAATACTTTGTACTATTATATGAAGTGCCACTGATATTTATGTGTGTGGTCTTTCTGGTTGCTGAATATTCTGGCACACAAAAATTAATCATCAGATCAAAAGAATTGTTTCTGGTACTTAGCTGAGATTTTTTTCTTTTGAATATGCACTCCTCACTGCTCTTCCTGTTCCCTTTGCAGAGCAAGAGTATAGGAAAAAAACAAGTGCAAGAGCTTCCTCATAATCCTGGTTTGCTTGTGGTCAAAAACAGGAATTATGAGTCATGAGCTCCAAATTACCGGGAATGAGCCAAGGTAAAATGACATCCCAAAGATAAAGGTCATCCTTGAAAAACAGATATGCATGAATTCACCAAGTTTAAAGCAGCATTTTTAGCCTAGGGTCCATGGGTCCCCGAGGATCTGTGGACAGAATCCAGGGGCCCTTAAACTTGGGTGGGGTAAAAATTACATCTACATTTTCACCAACCCCTAACTGAACTTGAGCGTTTCCTTCAGTTATAAATGTAGGCAAAAAACCACAGTGGTACAGACAATACCTGTGACTTTGTCATCTATAGCAATCTCAGATATTTTAGTATCGTTTGACAGTTTCATTTTTGCTTTTCATTGCTTAGAAATTACAGTAGTTGTTAGACTCACCAGTTTTTATTCAGGGCCTTAATTAAGAAAAAGCATACTTATATTACAAATTTATTTTAAAAAATGTTTTCAATTCATTGTAATTGGTTTCCTCTGTACTCTTACACATTTTGTTTTATGCATTTATAAACATTATTCTGAGAAGGGGCCCATAGGCTTCACCAGACTGCTGAAGGAATCGAAGTTTTAAAGCGAAAAGTTTAAGCTGATTTGATTCTCTAGAGCCATGCTTTCCAACAGAGATATGTGAACCACATGTAATCTTAAATTTCCTAGTAGCCACTTTAAAAAAAATATAAAGTATCAGGTAAAATTAGTTTTAATAAGCTATCTTATTTATCTGAATATATTCAAAATATTTCAACAGGTCATCAATATGTAAGTTACTACTGAGATTATCTTACTTTTTTATATTGTCTTTGTAATTAGGTGTGTATTTTACTGTTAGAAGATACCTCAGTGTGCATGCTACAGTTCCATTGGAAATACTTGATCTGTATTTACATTTAGCTTCATTGAGTAATTTAAATTTAAATCAGTAAAGATTAAATCAAATTAAGAATTCAGTCTCGCAGTTATACTAGTCATATTACAAGTGCTTTTTTATACTAGTCACATTACAAGTGCTTAGTAGTCCATTGGGCTCATGGCTACCATATTGGACGAGACAGGCCTAGAGCCTGATTCCTGAGGGAACTGGACATCGGGGAGATTTCATTAGGACTCAGCACATGCTGTTTTGTTGGTTCCATGTGTTTTGTGAAACAGGTACTTGTTTAGATCCTCTTATGGTACCTCCAGCACTCTGCCTGGTCTTGAGTAGGGGCTCAGGTTACCTAGTGACAGTGCAGAGCTGGCTTTGTGTGACTCGGTGGGAGGTGTTTCAATTTAAGTGGCGGCTTTGTTTTGTATATCAGTGGCGGGGTGGGTGGCTGGGTGAAATTTTGTAATTTCCATTCCAACTGGTTGAAGAGGGATTTGCAAATTCTTGGAAAGGAGAGATCCTAATTTTTTTCCCTTGTGCAAACTTTTGGCATGATAAGAATTTAAATATGGAATTCTAGTACTCTACTGGTATGTTTTGTCTGTCTTCCAGAAGGAGTGAGTTGTAGGACTCAATTTAATCTTTTAATTTAGTTTTTCCATCATGGATTCACAGTTTACCTTCTTGACTGTCATTCAACAGCTAGAGCAGATTATGGGCATCCTTTAGTATTTTAGTCTGGGAGGAGGGTGGAGGACCTTAACCAAGAAAGTTCATCGAGGTTCCATGCTCCCAGCCATTGCCTGAAGTTGTTCAAAATGTTTTCTCTTCCAGAAAAGGATCTCTGAAGTTAAGCTAGGCAATTTCCGCAAATACTGTTATCCACTTGGGTGGTCTAGCTCTACTTTCATCTCCTAACTTGTTTTTGATGTTGATACTAGATGTCGCTTTTTCATTTCTTTTGATTAAAATTGACAGGCTGTGAAATAATGATGAGCGAATAATGTTGCTAATTTCTATCTAATTTACTGTTTCCTAGATTTAGAAGTTTAGAAACATGGGTGTTTAGATAGATATGGAGGGTGTTCAGGGACTGTCAGTAAGTGAACTCTGCCAATGCATTACCCCTGGTTATCTTCGTGATGTTTGATTTTTTACATTTAAGGTCACCATGAGCTGACCCAATGGCAACAACAACAGCTACAACATCTTGGTACTTTGGGGAGAATGTTGAACTCTTTTGGACCTTAGGAATCTAGAAGCATGTCTTATACCTCACCTAAACTCTGGAACTGTTTGAATGTAATACTCTGCTAGGGCTTCTGAGACTCAAAGGCACAGTTCCTGCTCATGAGAAGTCTTGGTAAAATGAATCACTACACTCGGACAAGTGCATTTATCAGTGGATTCTGTTTTGTTTTTAAACTCTACTCCGAGCAGAACCTTAGTAGTTTCTTCCCAAGAAGTAGTAATAACAGAAACAGCAGCTGACATTTATTTATTCAACAAATGTTGAGTGGGTGCTTACTATGTGTCAGGTACAGCTCTAGGATATAGACCTCAACAGTGGACACAGAGCTTGTTTAGGCTTATTATGCAGGGTGCCGGGGATGTGTCTGATATGACACATGCTCTGTACCAAGGCACTTGCATTTTAAAGACTTGAGTGAATAAGAATTTACAGCTGAATGTTGTCATCCCTGTAATGGAAATATGCTTGGGAAGTGATAAGTGCTTTGGAGAATGCAGAGGGACATGTCTGATGAGGACAGACTTGAAGGAGTGACAGTTGCCTTCTCTACATGCCTTTTTCTCTGTGCTTCCTTCACTCTGCTCTTGTCATCTTCTCATTTTGGAAACTGCACAGTTGGAGGAGACTAAGAACCGTGGATGATGATTCAGTTCATTCATTTTGCTTTGGGACATAAAAATGAGTGCTGTGATTCGTGGATAGTGTATCTGTACCATTGTCTTCTTGGCTGTAGAATTTTTTTTTTTTTAAATGACTGTTAAGAGATTATATGATGCTAAAATCAAAACAGATTTTAACAGTTGCTTAAATATTATTTCTTGGTATATATGGCTTCTTGTAACATGGTGATCTATTTTACAAATATGTTTAATAAGACGAGCCGATTTGAACTTGAGTCCTTATCTTTTAAAAGAAAGATTTCCAATGTTTAAACATGGAATTAAATGATTTGGGGGTTTGCTGTACTGAACTTTGCAAGAATTTTCAGGCTCCCAGGCCTAACACAATCTGTAGCTGAGTAAAACTGGCCAAGTGAGTTTTAATCCCATTTGAGAGGTATCATAAGCCCTACTTGGGCAGTTTGGATTCTATTATAATGAAAGCACAGAATGTACCGGACAGTTAAGGAGGTGATTGTATTCTAGCTGTTGGTGGCACAGTGGTTAAGTGCTTGACTATTAACCGAAAGGTTGACAATTCAAATTCTGTAGCCGCTCCTTGGAAGTCCTATGGGGCCGTTCTACTCTGTCCGGTAGGGTCGCCATGAGTCAGTATCAACTTGACAGCAGTGGGTTTGGTTTTTTTGGTTTATTCCAATAGGGAAGGTCTCAGGGTAGTGCAAATTGTTTGTGCTCATCCACTAACCGAAAGTTTGGTGGACTGAAACTAGCCAGTAGCTCCAAGGAAGAAAGTCCTGGCCATCTACTTTCATAAAGATTCCAGCAAAAAACCAAACCCCTTGCCATCAAGTTGATTCCAATTCATAGCGACCCTCTAAGACAGAGTAGAACAATAAGGTTTCCAAGGCTGTAAATCTTTGCAGAAGCAGATTGCGTTATCTTTCTTCCACAGAGTGGCTGGTGAGTTTGAACCACCAGCCTTTTGGTTAGCAACCTAGCACTTTAACCACTGTTCCAGAAAACCCTATGGAACAGTTCTACTCTGTAGCACATGGGGACGCCATGAGTTGGAATTGAGTCAACAGCAGTGGGTTCGTTTTGTTTTTTAATTGCAATAGGGAGAATGTTCATTAATGAGGAAAGTCTTAAAGAAGAGAGAGAAAAGTTGGAGTTTTATAAAACAAGAGTGTCATTGAGGAAAGCTGGAGGTGGGTCTTGTCTCAGAATATTCCAGGGCAAAGTGGTTCTCTCTGAACATGAAAGGGTCACAAAGAGAAGGATGTCTCCACCACGCTTGCTTTCTGGGAGCACAGGGCTCAGATAAAGTTCAACGTTGTCAGAGTACATGTTGCAAATTATTTTTAAAAAGATATTACTGATTCAAGCTTTCACTTGAAAGACTCAACAGTTAATCAGAGATGTGTAATTTATAATTAGTGTTATTTGAACATAATAATTTCATTGTAATGTATCTCAGTGTATTCATTTGATGGTTTAAGACATAAATACAAGTTTTTTAATCCTTACAATTTATTTTATGCCAGAATTTTGAGAACTGCTGCTGTTTATTCTCCTCATTCACCCGTCTTAGGTTATGTATGATTTTCCAGGTTCTTAACTGTATTTAGGGGATTTATATTTTGCATGTTCTGTTTAGGGTTTTATCAATACTAATGTCGAAATTACTATGGATAAAAATCATAAATATAAGAGGACAGAGGTCTGTTATCTTAGCATTTTGTTGGTTTGCTTTGAAGAACTTGTTTGTTATGGCTTATAGATCTAATTCTCTTGCAACATTAGGATGCTATTTCTTTAGGACTGCAGGAAGCACAATTGGGGAATTATTTTACATAACAACAAGGATAAAATGTTATTTATTTATAAGTTACTCAGAGCCTAAAGGCTTTAGAGCACGGAATATAACATAATAAAGAAAATGAACCAAATCTTCCCTGATATTTAGCTGGAAATTGAAATTAATTCATATAAAATACCTGAGATGAAACACTAGCAATGAAATTTTGGGTATTGCTGTGCTTTCATTGTTTTGCTATTTTAGATTTAACTTAAAAAATGTGCTGTATAAACTCATTAGCTGGATAAAATCCTCCAGCTATTCACTTTTTGCCTGTGCTGTCGTCCTTTCCAGGTGAAAACTATTTCAGTGTTTGAAAGTCTAGGTGTTGTCTTCCGTGTGGGTTGCATCCTTTCTGTTTTTCATTCCCTTTTCTCTGGCCCTGCCTCCTCTGGAATCAAAGGCAGCTAGGGGTGTGTGTGTGTGTGTGTGTGTGTGTGTGTGTGTGTGTGTGTGTGTGTGTGTGTG